CCCCCCCCCCTATTACGTTCCGACTATATGATAACGAGTATATCAATGAACAAGATAAGAGATGCTACCTTTTTGTGCGTGTGCAGCGACGCGGACGTAAAGGCCTCACAGTCAGGATCCTGAGTCTGTCTCACTGAGGAAATCCTTCTTTAGGTACTGCTTCCCATTTGGTCGTCCAGAAGGTGCTCTGAAAGGAACACTGTCACTTTTGGAAAGGGTATGCAGCTTCACTTCTAGAAGTTGAATGTTATTTAGAGTTTTATTGGTCCTTTATGAGTTTTTTCTATCAGGTGCTCATGAAAGACGTAGTGTCACCTGTGCCACCAGAGGAGGTGCGGGCAGTTATTCGAAAATGTCTTGAGGATGCAGCTCTTGTCAACTATACACGGATATGTAACGAGGCGAAGATCGAACGTGAGTGAGAAGGAAGAATAGCTCGGAAAAGGGAATAAACATCATAATGTCAATTGAAGGCAGTGGGCACGATCGCTAGAGGCGTGCGGTTGGCGTCAATGCCACTGGTGGAAGGGATGGGTGGGGCTGTACTCAGATGTTATCTCGCAGCCCTTTCACCAGTGACACTGGCAACGACCGCCCACCTGCAGCAGTCGTGCCCACTGCTTCGGAGGCCCTCCTTATCCCTGTGATATAACCCATAACCCGCATTCGACTGGGCAATGGCACCAGAAAATGAGGCATGAATCATTTTTTCAGAGCGAATGGGAGTTGACGTGAGTCCACAGCAACGAATCGAAGACATGATGCGAGTTACAGAGTACTGTATCGATCTACTGAGGGAAAACGAGGAGCATCACGGGGAGGTAAGTATTAGTATTGCTTCTTTCGTCAACTTCTTTCCTCTCCAGCGCTCTAAGTGAGTTTTCTAAGTTGACGCGCTTTTTACTCGAGATTCTATGCTGTTTATGTTTATGGTTATGTTTCTATTTACTCTTTTCATGTGTTCTGTTCTACTTTAGCAACTTCGAGGGGTATGATTTCCGACTTTTACGATACGGTAACAGTGGACTGTGAGAAAATTTTCATTCATACCTAAAGTGTTCACCTATAGTTAATCGTTTAATGACTTCTCACAGTTCACGGTGTGTCTAGCGTTTGCTGTTAGCTAGCTGTATTTCAATTTTTGTTTGTGCTTTAGCGAGTAGTCTGATTGTATGATAGTGATTACATGAAATTTCAGTGATTTATTAATAGTTATCCTAGTTCCCACCCCCCTCGGCGATAACAGTGCGCGATAAATTCAGAGGGGTTAGCGTGAAGCTAACCCCTATCACGCTAATGTCACATTCCGCAGGGTCCTACGGGCGAAGGCACGAAACATCACTTCCGAGTCTCGTCGAGCGCGTAGTATTCTACCAAATCCACTCAATGTGGCAGAGCAGTGGCTAAGGCACTCCGTGACGTTGGGGGAATTTTTTCCAAAATAAGACTCCAACTTGAAATACTCTGTTGTGATATCTATTATCCCTCCCCGGTCGTACCCACCGTCTTCCTGGATTTTCCCAGCTTCTGCCCCTTTTTCGGAGTATTTTAGTTCTCCCTTCAAATACTGCTGTCAAGCGGGTGGAGGGGAGGGGCATGAAAAATCAAGAGAAGCGAAGAACCGAAAACATTTCACCAGAAGGCAGACACGCTTCTGCCTTCCAGCGACCATATGAGCTTCCACCCCCCCCCCCTCTCGCTGGGGATCCCAATGTACGAATTGCCTTGGCAGTCCACTGTCGATTTTCTCTGTGTCTGTGTCTCTCGCGTCAACTAGCTAGGAAAGCCTGCGATGCCACGATTCAGAAGTCACGATGTATACCCCAAGAGCGAAGTACTCGCACCACTTTGTTTTCTTCGTTGGTGTGTTCGTTGTTTTTAGAAGTATGGAAGGATGAGGGGTCTATCATTAAAAAGGGCTCACAGATACGCTGACATAGCCAGGTGATCATGGAGTATCGAGCGGACTCAGGAAACGTCTTCAGTCGTCCTTGCAACGTAGTAGAGTTGCCAGGTTCTAGCGTTGCGGGCGAATGGAGACCAGTGGGTGGATGCCAGGATACACCAAGAAATAGCCTTAGCTTATGAAGCCATCGAGGCAATAGAACGTTTTTCGTCGGATAACGTGGCACTTTTCTAGATCTGTTCTTGAAATTCCCATTTGTCTACCTTGCGATGGAGACCCGGTCTCGAGTCGATCTATCAGTAATGCCTTTCCCATCAAGGAGAGAGGGGTCGTATTTTCTTGTTCCTGGGACGGTGAAAAGGGGAGGGGGTTGTATTCGCTCGTTGTTGGGTGAGGAGGGGAAAGTCTATTTCACCTCTAGCCTTCTGAGAGGTTAGAGAGGTTGCTGACTTTCCGTGGTGTAGGATAGTGGGGGAAGGGAGGCTGTATGGGGGGGGGGGTCGTACGGACTCGATCAAAATCCCCATCAATGATGCACCCTGGTCAATGGGTGCGCGAGGGTCAGCTGAATAGGAAGATCCACTGAGGCTGGGAAGATTGGTCTGGGATATATTAAGGAGATGGTGATACGCGTGAGGCGTACTATCGAGGCACAACTCAACGGATGGCACTCTAGGGTTCTTCTGGGTGGCATTGCTCATATCAGCAGCGCTACCTTCAACAGCTTCAGTCCAATTCGTTGCGGATTCTGTCAGAAAGGCCGGGTTTAGCGCTGCGCCGATCAGTCTTCTATCGCTTTCCAGCTCCCACAAGTAGTGAACAACGGGCTGGCGCTCCTCTCAAACCACGCCACAGCGTCCGGAAGACAAGCGAAAGACAGCGTTAAATGGCTCCGCCGAGCAATAGTGAACAGAGATTTACAATCAGACTGCACGTTGACACCGTTGGCTTGCCCTTTGCCCAAACAATGCGCTTCATGTGCTTTATTCCAGACTATTTCCTTTAAGTCGTTTTTCGTAGACACTTTTAGTTTATGAAAATGTTTTGAAATTGGCTCCTCTAACCGTTTTTTTTCTGATGATACGTCACTTTTGCATCATATGTACCTCTATAGAAACCATGCACTGATCGCTTCAAAAGGATTACGGTCTGTCTACTATCATTAGGCTCTTGACATCGTCGTAATCCTCTTAAAACGATAGAATGCTGCTGTGTTTCGTGTTCCCTTGCTGCAGCACTCCTCCATACCCCATTGGCCATGTGTGATTACAGAATCTTGCGCAGTCGAGACGGGTTTACTGTGTGTTCACAAATGCAGTACACTGCGATTTTTTTCGTCGCTCCCATTTCTGGCTTACGACTAATGAGGCTGAGGGCAACAACCCAAAATTCAGAGGCAAGTATGTACGACCCTTTCCCCTCTCCCTTGCTGGGGATCCCCAGGTGGTAGCGCGCACAGAAGGGGAACGCGCGCCTCTCGAATGAATGGGGAGGGGCAATGGAGAAGGGGCGTCTTGAAAAGAGAAGAAATAACTTCTACAGGGATTGTATTCTGTATAGCCCATTACACAGTAAGAGAAATGGATACGTGACAAGAGAATAGTAGGCGACAACAGGCAATTCAGAACCGAAAATAGTCATGAATGTCTACGATGACGGGGTCTACATGAAGTCCGGTGCTCCAATCGACAGGTTAACACGAGTTAAGAAAACGCCGCCCATCGCCGCGGGCGGTGGAGCGGCAAATTACGATTCTCTTGCCCGTTTCCCAAAAAAATAGATGTCGAAGATCACGCAACGGCGCGATTTTGTCACGTTACACCTTGTCTTCCTCTCCTTTTTTGCCACTTTTTACGCAACCCTAAAAGATCCATATAGGTCGATCTCCACTTCCTTGAGAGAACGTGGACGGACAGGCGTGGCGCTGCCGCGTGAGACCAGGGTACAGCATGGGGATGTGCGAAATGTCGGTGTGAGTACGACCCCCCCCCCCCCCCTTCGAATGGGGTCCAGGCACGACCCCCCCCCCCTCCACGGCTTTTTCGCCGACGACGAGCGATGAGTATATAGTCGGCGAAAAAGTTGTCGAGCGGGGGGGGGGTATATCCCACGGGCGTACAGAAATGCATATAGTGCATATAAAAAAAATTAATACGACCCCCCACTTTTCCACAAGAAAAATCAACTATCAAAATAAATTTGTCTTACAAATGTGTTTGACACAACGATGCTGTACCCTGCGTGAGACCCTCAGCTACTTTTGCGCCATTCGTGGTTCGCCTCATCCGCTTCTGGCCAGACTTGGCTATAGGACTGTTCGCGAGGATACTGGGGCGTGTCAGGGGGCTGATTTGGTTCGGCAAAGCTCGTTTTCCACCAATTACCATCGCTTGCTCACGCCAGCAATTGGTTGAGAACGGGTTGTGGCCGCGTTAACCTTCTCCTGGCCCGTCCCACTATCGGCACCGAAGACTGTACCTCATGGGGAAAAAGGAAGAGTAGTGATACAATGAAGAGAATTCTAGGCAGAGAGAAGGGTACTATTGAGGACACATTCTACGGTAGTCGTATCGGTGGAAAGAAGGGCGCGAACGTCACTCGTAGTACTTTCCTTACTAGTGATCGGTGTTGAGAGGAGGTGCGCATCAATGAGTGAAGCACAACCACTGAAGTCCCGCCCATCCGATTATCGTGGAGTGGGCATTCAATGGCATCAGGCTGCAGTTGTGAACGCTCAGTAAACTATGGGATTTCGACTGTGCAAGTGATGAGTGGATTCATAATTTCCTTCATAAATAATAATGAAATTTAGGCATTCACATGGTTTTCCGATTTGTTAGCTGACCATTCGGAAATCTTTTGGTCACTGTACTCAGTTGATCTCGATTCGGCTATGGAGGTGCAACCACCGGATTCGTGGGATGCTTTCCCGCTTTTCCAAACGCTCAACGAATTTTTGCTTAATGAAAGTGAGTTACCAATAATTACACTAGGAGCATCTGCTATCAGAGTCAGGGCACATCATACAGGTAAGGAAAAGGCGCATCAGTAGCCCCCTCCCTCCACCTTCTCCTTGAGTGCGACCACTTTTTAATGACAAAATACATCTTGAATCTCTTCCTTATCTCCTTCCACCATGAATACCATAGCTCATCGATAGGGCCAGGGCAGAAAAATGATGGGATTTTTTCTGGGAAGGGCGGGGGTGAAAAAGGAAGTACGGGAGGTGCAACCCACATCAGAAACCATAAAAGTCTTACCACTCGGAAATTCTACCATTGGCTCTCTCAACAAACCAAAAAGAAACTTTTGCCTGCTCTCAATTACATCCCCCCTCCCTCTTTCCACCCTTGAAGACTCTTCAGTGGGGATTTGGTCGGAGCGCACAAGTACGATGCGCCATGTGCTCTACGCGTCCGTAGATTCTGGAGATGGAAAGCTAGAGGGGGATGAGGAGATGAGGACGACGCCATCTTTTCAGAGTCGTTGAATGGAGGGATTTTCCACAAGAAGCTCACCAGCCAATTTCAACCGTTAGTGGTTCGATACACGGATCTCATGGAACATTCCATATCACAATCGATCGATAAGGGATTTTCCAAGGAAAAATGGGAGCCAAGGAAGTAAGTGGCACTATTCCACCAAACAGCTTAATGAAAGGATGCGATTGCAGACTAGTTGTGGATATAGTAGATATTGTCGCAGTCACTCAGGGCGGTGTCAGCGGAGGATCAATTGGCGTGGCGCCAGCAACTTTCGCACCAATCGTAAATGCCGAAGCCTCCACGACTGATAGAAAACGGGCTGTCGCTGCGTCACCTACCGTTCGCTGACACTGCCAGCTTATATCAGATTTAAAGACTGTGACTGCTCTGAAGTCTTTGATGTAATTTCCAATTTTCCAGAGAAGGCTGTGCTACTTCTGAGGACATTTACTGGAAGCTGGACGCTCTTCACACGTTTTGTTGTCGATTTGAATTGGCCTGAAGAGGAATTCCGACGATACTTGACTGTTAGAATGAAGAGCTTAACGTCGGATATGATCTCAAAAGTAGCGAGCAGGTCAGTGAACAGTTAGTCTAACGAAAAAGCAACGTACTGACTGCGTACGTGCGGTTACATCGAGTCATCTCTCCAATTCATGGCGGAAAGTATTCCTTAGGTGATTGACGAAATAATCATGATTTATCCCAAGAAAAATACATGCTTTCTTCTGGATCTTCGTTTTTGCTTTCGTTTTCGCTGATTCTTTTCCCCCTTAATTATTTATAGCCACTTACCTTCTCAGATTCACGCTCGCAATCAGTCAACGCTGTGTCGGGAAGCGTGGATGAGCCTATCCCTGGCATTTTCTCTCATTGGTTTTTTTTCTTAGAACCGATAACTATTGGCCGAGAAAGATGCCAAGAAGGATTCATTCCACGCCTCCTGACACTGCCTCTACGAAGTATCAACTACATCTGTCAAATTACAGCACTTACCAACAGTTCGACTCGTGGATGCAACGAGCTCGAAAATCGACTGATTACATCTTGCCGTCGGAAGTCTGCGTCATGATTAACGTCATATTCAGCTCCAAAACCAGGGCAACGAAAATGTCCGTTGATGCTGGAGAGGTAAACGATCATGGTAAGATCGATCATTCGCCATGAACAAAGAGAAACCGCGCTTAAAGGCACATTCCGCGATAAAATAAGGCTATGACCTCTCAAATGTGTCGGACGATCCGGAAGGCGATTTTTGAGGCTGCGCTACTTTCAAAATGTGAAAAACGGCAAGAACTCCGCTAGAAGCTGACTAATTAGGCCCATGGACACCCCTTAGGCCCATGCCGACCCTCACCGGCTGCTAGCTACTAGCTAGTAGCCACTATGTTATCTTTCTCTATAACATTTCGGACTGCTTTTTCTGCTGCTTTTCTCCGCTAATCAGATACTTAGCACTTTTTTGTGCCTATTTGAGTTCCGTTTCCCGCAATTTGCGGTCGCGAACTGTGCCTTTAAATTCACAGATTTTTGAATGAAATCCACGGCTTGTGAGAAGGCAAGGTCTCTAGTTGGAAAAGTGCGCGCAGGTAGTTTTCATCGCTACGTAGTCGAATGAGAACATACCATAGGCGAAGCTGCATCTGTGGCTCTTAGAATCCTCTCGCCTGACTATTTCAGGTTCAAGGCTCCACTAGCCCACATGATGGAGCACCCTCTCCCATCGCCATGAAGTAAGCCACTTCAATACTCTTAGTGGGGGTAACCACTGGCAGGGGCGAAACACCAAGCAGAAAGCGATCAGTCTACTGCTCCTGGGCTCGGGTCCTTTACTTGACCACCTTTGGGACAATACCAGTACGTCCGAGCAAATACCAGCTGCCGCTCGCAAGCGATGAAGAATAACGTCGATCGCATAGGGATACATTGCGGGTACGTTCCATGGCGCAGTGAAAACCGAATGGGAATGGGAGGCGAAGTGCGTCAAAGGGATACTGTGAGAATTCTTGATATCATAAGCTTCACTATGAGGATTGTTCGTAGATAAGACTTGTAGGCGAAGGGATCCTCACGACTATATCCTTAAAGGCAAAGATCGCGATCATTTGCCTATCAACGATAGGGTATAGATTAGGGGTTTGCATATAGACGGCGGGGTGCTGAGTAATTCGATAGTGAAGGAAAAAAAAGCACAAAAAAATGCCAACTGCCCTAGATAGAACCCCATTTCAATCCCAGTGCGTTGTCCAATTAACTCCATCTCCAACACTACGCCCCCATCCGCACAGCTGATTCCCCGATAAGAACTCTACGACCGTACAAGTGACGATTTTCATGCTTTTTCGTCCTTTTTTCATTGAGAGGCGGGCCTTGATGGCGGAGTCTGGAGGCGGAGTCACTGGAAAA